CAATGCGGGTTTTCCCCATTGCGAAGATCGGGTATGTTTCCGTATAGCGATCCCGAAAAAGGGATCGCTATACGGAAACATCGCTATACGGTGCACTCGTTAAGTGAGGCACCACTGTACTTCCTTTGTGACCATAGACCATGCTCAGCTATTGTTGGGCTGTTCTGGGGTCCAAGCAATCTCAGTTTAAGGTTTCCCCCTATACATATTTTTTTGTATTTCTGCAAACTTTGGGGCTCTGTTGTACCGGTGGCTCACTCCACTTGCCTGAAGGCGTTGGCTATATGTGGATACACACTGAGAGAATGTATTCACTGTTATTTTATAGGATAATTATTACATTGTCATACATTCTTCATCCTCATGACAGCCCTTCAAAGCAGGGTAGGGGAAAGAGAGTCTAGCTAGATAAAAGCTGACCTTAATGCAAGGTCAGCAGTGAATCAGTGTTTAACATCATATCCTCCCATCCTGGCAATGACTCTTACAAAGGAGAAAAGCATCACACAGCTCTCTGCGTAGAAAACTAGTCACCCCATCCATCCCTACCTTCAGATCATTCCAGTTCAGAGAGCTTGTGTTTGTGAGGAAGGAGGGCTTGGAAACGTTACAGTTTTGGACTACAGCTCCAGAAAGAACAAGGATGTGGGGAGCTGTAGCTGGAAAAAGTAGTGTTTCCAAGGTTTGGAAAGCAGATCTGTGTTTTCAGATCGAAAGGCCAGGAGGATGGTGTGTGTGTGTGAGAGGAGCTGATTTTTGAGGGTGATGCTGGGGTGGTTCATTCTGATTTCTGTCATCACACACTTCTCCCATTTCTGTTTTCAGTCAGCTCCATTCTGATCTGGCCATGTTTTTTCTACATCGTCACTGAGTTCATGAGTCAAGGTTTGGCGTCACTCTCTCATCTTACATTTGCACGTAGATGCCTGTGCACAAAAATGCCTGCGGGCTTCCCCTGGGCAAATGGCTGGTCTCTGTATAAACAGAATGCTGGACGAGATAACCCTTCCCTCTGATGCAGCTTGGCTTTCCTCACGCTCTTAAAACAGATGAACCCATGTAACCCGCAGACTAGGCAAGAAACACCAGGTGTAACTTAACGTGGACTTATTTAGAGCAAGAACTTCAGTCTGGATGGTCAGTTCTTTGCCATGCCACGTCATGCTTTGACTGATGGGAAAAGGCAACTCAAGAGCAGCAGTACCAGAGAGAATTCAAGTGGAGGCATCTGCTCCAACAAAATGTAGGCCGAACGAAGCCTTTTTAGAGTTTCAGGACCAGACCAGTCCTTCTCTTCTCCTGTGGAAGGATGGCAAGAATGGTTTCTAGGGTGTATCCTAGCATTCATTTGCTTCCCTTTTTGACATTTTGGTCCAGACCCCTTGCCTGTATGGTGAGCCAATATGGGCATTATGGTCATTTCTGTGGAGGAGTTAGATCCCTTAGGGCAGTGGTCTCCAACCTTGGGCCTCCAGATGTTCTTGGACTTCAACTCCCAGAAATCCTGGCCAGCAGAGATGGTGGTGAAGGCTTCTGGGAGTTGTAGTCCAAGAACATCTGGAGGCCCAAGGTTGGGGACCATTGCCTTAGGGAATTGCCGGTCTGGCCAGGAGATAGATTCCAGATTCAGGGGTCTCTGGCTCAAAGGCTCTCTGTTTGCCTCTTCATGGTTTAATGCCCATACAGTATTTTCTCTAACACCCTTCAGCTCCAGTATTGATCATCCAACAGATCATTGGTCAAGATAGAGATCCTGCTAGGGAAAGAAAGATATTGGTCTGGTATAGGTATATTTAGACATTACAGGAAATCATGCATTTCTGCCACTTGAAGAAAAAGACCTCAAACTTGCGTTATCTTCTTTCCCTTCCTCCTTTGTGACATCAAGATAGTAATCAGAAGCATCTAGATCTAACTGTAACTGAATTCCAGATTCCTCTTAAGGTCTAAACCCCATGAAATGTGGTTTCCTGACATTATGGCTTGACAAGAAATCGGGATCTTGGTAAACACACTGTACTCCTTTGGATGGTAGCTCCGATTATCCCCCAAACAACATGGCTAACTTTGAAGTCAGTGTTTTTCCCCTCACTGAACTCTCATCTCAACAAACCATCATTCCCTGGGTTTGGACCTAACAGAAAACTGCAGTTTATTTACAAGCAGAAGTGGACAGTTCCAGTTTTTTCCTTGTAGTGGTGAAAGGTGAAAGATGGGGACAGGGGCGCATGCTGATCTGAGGCTCACCTGGCTTTGTTCCTGTGGCACAGGGTGGGCAGTGCGGCTTTCCAGATATTTACAGCCTATAACTCCCATTGATCTTAGCCAGCATAGTTGGCGAGTTGCTATCTGAAGGGCAACAAAGAAGGAACCGTCCTGCTCTGACGCAGTGGGAAATGAGGAAAACAAATGAGGTAGAGGAAATGGAAGTGCAGCTGCTAGCAACGGGGGGCTTGGGGAAGGACTCTTACAAGCCTCTGTCTTGCTGATATCCTGATTCTTCCCACAACAGGGAGTTTGCTGGACTTTTTGAAAGACGGAGATGGCCGTTTTCTGAAGTTACCCCAACTGGTGGACATGGCGGCCCAGGTAACTGGAAAACAAGAGGTGGAGCTAATTCCGTGTAAAATTAAAGCTCTCTGAAAAGCCGTAGGTTAAAAACAGTTAAAAGGAGTTAAAACAGAATTTGGGAAAGGTGGTATTTTTTTAAACCTGTAATTGTCAGCCATTCTAAGGGCCATAGTCTGAAAGGCTATGTTAAATCTGACCCTCGTTTGTCCCCAAAGTTAATAAGTTTTACACTGATTTTTAGTGCATCGATTATCATGCTGCTTCTACCCTGAGAAATGGTTATCATATGACTGCTTTGCTTGCCATCTGTGCACATTTGCGTAGGAGCTGAGCACCACTGAAGTGGAGATTGTAACTGAACAAATGTGCACTGGACTATGCTTATATATTACTCAGCGCTGTGTAACAGAAGTTCTCCTGTTATTTCAATGAAAAACAAATGGACCCATTTTTCTTCTCTTGTTTTCAAATAGTGAGCATATGAAAGAAATTTGCAGAGATCTGCTCCTGGTCTAGCAGACCCGGTCAAAGTCTAAATGCAATGGTTTCCCCGTTCCTTTCCATACACAAAAGCTAACTAGACCAGTGGCTGATATTTTTTCCCCCTACATTGATAACAAAACAGCATTCTTTGCCAGACGAGGTGGCAGCAGTCTAGCTTACAGAGCGCTGGGCAAGATGGGTGGCATCCACTTCTCTCCGTTGACTCCTTGCTTCCACCTCCGTGTGACAGTCACTTCGCTCTGCCTAACTGTAGGAACAGCCCAGGGTTCTTAGTGATGAAATGTGTGCAGAACATTGAGGTCCCTTTATTCTTGCTTTTGTTGCCTTCTTTCTTCTCCACACAATGAAGATTGCAGCTGGAATGGCCTACATTGAGCGGATGAACTACATTCACCGAGACCTTCGTGCGGCCAACATTCTTGTGGGTGACAACTTGGTGTGCAAGATCGCCGACTTTGGCCTAGCCCGCCTCATTGAGGACAACGAATACACCGCCCGCCAAGGTAAGCTGTCAGCCCTACCCACAAGGCAGGGTGGTCCCCTTGTGGCCCTCGGGCCCAATTCCAGAAACTTTCTGCAACCTATCACCTCTACCACCTGTGGGGGTGCTCACAGATGACCTCTCAAGGAAGTATATCAGGCAAAAACAAAAGAAAAATTAAGTAGATAAAAAAGACAAACATGTTGTGGCACCTTAAAGACTGTTCTATTTTTATGTAAGCTGTTGTGGACCCTCTTGACTACTTTTTCAGACAAATGTGATGGAATACAGAAATGACACCATAAAACAGAGTCTAAGAGACAGGGGTGTGTTGTTGCATTTGATACATGCAATAATTTGTTAATGTTTGGTATTCAGATCTTTTGAAATCCATTTCTGTAAACATTCTGACAAGAAACACAAAAGCAGGCAAAAGCAGGTAGCATTGCTCTGGTTTCATGAAACAAACAACCCTTCCTCTTTCAATTTGCCGGTATCGTGAAGCGGCTTAATAAGCAAGCCACTTCAAGATATTGGCAAATTGATAACTTCTCAGCTTGGCAGAGGGCAAGGGAAGTGGGAAAAATAATAATTTTTAAATGTAGAAAGACTTTTTCTGATGCACTACATCAGTTATAATTTTATATATATTGCTTTGCCTTAAAAGGCTGGTTGAGAAAACACCCACAGCAGTGGCTTCAGCTGCAGGCAGTTTCTCGACTGGCCCTTTAAGAGAAGGCAAAGAAAAGAATTTTTAAAAAAACATTATAGCTATAAACTATATACAGTCAAAGAAAACTTTTTTTCACTTCTCCTGGCCTCTGCCAAGCAGGGAAAGTGATTAATTTGCCAATATCTTGAAGTGGCTCGCTTATTAAGCCACTTCACTATGGAGCCATTTTCATGTAAATGGTCAGGCTTCATTAGAACACGCTTGATTAGCTCGTCTACACTAGCTCGCGCCCTGCTGCTAGTGGAGCCATGTCATCACTGGGTTGCATAGCCTCAGTCAACCCCTCATGTTGATCTACCTCACAGGGTTATTGTGTGATATAACCCAAGGAGCGGGGAAGCCATGTGCGCCATCCTGAGTTCATTACAGAAAGGGCAGGCGATACATGTAATGAGTAAAAATAATTACCAATGTAAGCTCGAGCTAGAGCAGCCTTCCCCAGCCTGGTGCACTCCGCAGTGCTCTTCATCCCCAGGCTGCAAAGGATGATGGGAATTGTCATTCAACCCATGTGATTGAGGGAAGCTGAGCCAGACTCCCCCGCTGATCTCTAGCCTAGAGCTTTTTCACCTTTTGCTTGCTTCTTAATCTTGCAGATATACTGGCACAGCCACGTGCCAAGAGAAAGAAAGAGGCATTTAAAAACTCCCCGATGATCTCATCTTTCCTGCAGCAATGAAAGCTTTTGGCCTCACTTATTCTGCTGACAGGCAGGTAGACCCACGAGCGAGGAAATGTTTTCAGCTTGTGGGCACATCTCCTTCCCTTCCGTCTCTCATTGTCTTCTTCTTCCACTTTGATCTCTTGTGGGCAGGTGCCAAATTTCCCATTAAGTGGACAGCGCCAGAAGCTGCTCTTTATGGCAAGTTCACCATCAAGTCCGATGTGTGGTCCTTCGGCATTCTTCTCACTGAGCTTGTGACCAAAGGGCGGGTGCCCTACCCAGGTAGACCCTCTCCTTGTCTCGCTTCTTCCATTATCAGAGAAAGTGGGGGTGGAGATTAGGGAGGGATAAGGGAGGATGCTGAAAGTTCCCAGGGTTCTCTAGACAGCGCAAAGGATGCTGCCATTCCAACCATTTGTGCTTAAGGTGTCCATACAAACCGAGCGGGAAGACACCTGAACTCACTTCCTAGCTGGAGTTCGGACAGGTTAGGGTTACCACTAATATGTGAACTGTTAAACAGAATTGATTCATTAATGTGTGATTGCTAAAAAAAAGTTATAATTGACTTTTATGCGAGTAGTTAAAATTGGTAACTAAAATAGTTTAAAAAACATTTCAGTCAAAGAATTATCTAAAATTACTACAGATGCTTAAACTCTTCCCTAAATTACATAAACATGTAATACCTACCAACCTAGCAGTTCGAAAGCATGTAAAAATGCGAGTAGATAAATAGGTACCACCTCGGTGGGAAGGAAATGGCATTCCGTGTCTATTTACACTGGCCACATGACCATGGAAACTGTCTACGAACAAAACGCTGGCTCTATGGCTTGGAGACGGCGATGAGCACTGCACCCTAGAGTCAGACACGACTGGACTAAATGTCAAGGGGAACCTTTACCCTTAATACCTAAAAATAATAGGAAACATTTTTACTCAAAAGTGTAACATCCATGCCTTTTAATTATTAAAATAATGGCATTCAGAATGCATTCCTGAACATTGTAATTCACTAAGGATAATGAATTGATTTTGAACAAACTATTTCCAAGCATAGAACAGCCTTAGCGTAAGCCTTCCTGGCTGCTGTCTTCCGGACCCTAAAAGGCCACGTGGCCCGGTTCCTTTTCTGCAGGCATGAACAACCGGGAGGTCCTGGAGCAAGTCGAGCGGGGCTACCGCATGCAGTGTCCTGCAAACTGCCCGCCCTCATTGCATGAGCTGATGGTGCAGTGCTGGAAGAAGGAGCCGGAGGAGCGCCCCACCTTTGAATACCTCCAGTCGTTTCTTGAAGACTACTTCACTGCCACAGAGCCTCAGTATCAGCCAGGAGACAACCAGTAGCAGTGGCCAAAGGAATCGGCTGGGGATCTTGACTGCGGACAGTCTGGCCACGGGGGCCTCCCCGGGGAATATGCTCTGGGACTTGGCCAGCTACAGAATTTACCTTTTTATCCTCTCAGGCCCAGAACTGAGAATCTCTTTTTGTACAACTCTGGTTGGGCTCTTATTTCTTCTTTCTCTTTTCTTTCTTTTTATAAATCAATTTTGGTTTTTTAAAAAAATTGTGACATGGTGTTTTTAAGCTTTGCCTCTTTTGGCTGGCCGGCTGACATGCTACACGTGCTACGTTTTGGACATATCAAAAGGACAACAAGCCACGTTTGGGGATGGGAAAGAAAGCAAGTTTTGTACATGGTGTTGTCTCTTACTCCAGCGACCCGCTTTCCGCAGTTTTTCCCAACTGGGATTGTCCATAGGGCTTGAACCGGTCCTCCCATCAGCCCCATCCAGCGCATGGTCAGCGTACATGGTAATAGGGCTTGAAGTCTCAAATGCCTGGAGAACAATGGCCGAGGAAGACGTTTGTGCTACTACAGCCATGTTGGGGAAATAATGGTCCTCCAGATATTACTAAATGGTAAAAACTGTCATCGCCTACCGTTGGCCATTCTGTCTGTGACTGATGGGCGTTAGAGTTCAGCAGTACCTGGAAGGCTAAACATTCCCTGCCTCTGTTCCATATCATTCTGGAGGTATTGATGATGGGAAACTACCCTTTCTTTCCCTTTCCATCAGCCTCACAATCCCAGTGCTCCACTTTGGGCCATCTCCTCTGCCTTGCCCATGGGCCATCTCCTGGAATCAAAGCGGGTTTCGTGATGGCGTTGTAGTGATCTTAACAAAGAGTTCAACACCTGGTGAAACCAGTACAGGACATCTGAAAATGCTAACCTGATAATACCAGGAGAATCCTGCAAAGTTAACGTGGCATTCTCCTGATAGGCTGGACTACTGCTTCCAAAAAAAACCCCAGAAGGTGACTGGCTGACATCTGATTAGGGAAAATGGGATTTGTAGTCCAATATGTCAAGAAGGTGATGGGTTGAGAAGCCTGAATTAATGAGTCATGAGCTGGCTATGCTACTTTCCACTGTCCTTAAAAAACACACTTGCCAGCCTGCCTCGCCCACTAAAACACCTTGAGACAGGTTGTTTCTGTGTTCCATGCCTTCAATTGCTCTTCTTCACCTCCTCCCCCCACCATGTTTTTGACCAGTGCCAATATCATTAAAGCCATAACCTTCTGGCTGCATGTTCCAAAATGCAGCTTGAATTGGACATGGGTTGTCGGCCAGGGACTTCTTTATTTCTTGGATTCCGGTTCCCATAATTCACCAGGAATTCACCCAGCCAGAATTCTGAGGCTTTAGCCAAGAAATTAATGCTCTCACTGGAGTTTTCAATTAAACATAGGTAGAGAATGAAGGCCCCCCAATAGTCATTATCAGCTTGTGAGTTAGATAGAGGAAGTAGCTGGGAAGGGCTAAGATCTGTTGGAGCTATAAAGGATTAGGGGGCTGGTAGTCTCTTTAGCTGTTAGACTCTGTTCAGGGTGCCTCTCAGAAAATTACCGGTCCCTTACTCCCTTGCATCTCCCATAGAGTTTAACAACACTCACCCATTTCTTCTTCCTTCTTCACAAGCAGATAATGGCTGTAAGAGTCTTTATTGCTCGTTTGTGTTTATCTAAAAAAAATTTGTAAAGACATTGAATTTCTTGGCGAAAGCCCTCAGAATTATGAGCAGAGAAATTCCTGGTGAATTCTAGAGCTTGAAGTCCAAGACATATGAAAAGCCCGTGCCTAATGGGAGGTCCAAAGATGAGATCTGTATCTGATGCCTTTTAAGTCCCATTGACAGAAGGAGGAGGGACACGGAGTGCCTAAGAAATGCATTTGTCAAATGTCTGTTCTGAAGTGGTGCATTCATATAGCAGGTGTTCCTTAGTATTACAGAGGCTCAGGTACCATCGCAACTTGTCTTTTCTGGATGACAGCACCAAGAATACCTCTACTTGCCTGCTATGCTGTCTGGGGGATTCTGAGAGATATGGTGGAAGGAAGGAAGGAAGGAAGGAAGGAAGGAAGGAAGGAAGGAAGGAAGGAAGGAAGGAAGGAACTTCCACACACTGGGCACTATCAACTGGAAGTTAGTAATGACTTGAGGAAGCATCCATACTAATACGTACTTGCAATTCCTTCTGTACAGCAGATGCTAAAACCCAGCCGTGAGGAATGTGTGATGGCGGGCTGCACTTCCTGTCAGCCCTAGCTGCCATAGGTGAAGGTGAAGACTGGTGGGCGTTGCAATCCAACAATATCTGGAGAGACAAACATTTCCCCTCCCCAAACTACAATTCCCAGGATTCTTTGAGGGAGAAATGAAAATTAAGCCAATAGACAAGTGATAGAAGATTCCTAAGCAGTGCTAGAATTTGTGAGTGGTGATGAAGGTAGAGATGTGGTTATCTCATGGACTAGGATGTGCAGGATGCTTCCCCCCCCCCAAGATCGCCAGCTGTCAGATAATTGAAGGGCGCCCCCCAGCCCCTGGGAAGTAAAATAAATATTTAATTTCAGTAAAATACCCTTCCCCATAGCGTTTTTAGTAGCACCCTCAAAGAAGAGGAGAGATTCCTGGCACTTTTCTTCTTATGCCCTCCCCAATAAATAGAATCCTTCTAAGACTCACTTTGATTAAAGGGTGTGCATAAATGGTTGTTGTGGGTTTTTCGGGCTCTTTGGCCATGTTCTGAAGGGCTCTTTTTGGGCTCTTTGGCTGGCCACAGAGACTGGCGAAACGTCAGGAAGAACAACTTTTAGAACATGGCCAAAGAGCCCAAAAAACCCACAACAACCATTAGATCCCGGCCGTGAAAGCCTTCGCGAATACATTGGTGTGCATAAATGCCTGTTTTCAACTGATTTCAGGATTAAAGATGGCCCAGATCTATGTAAGCTTGCTCAGAATGAAGCCCCATGATCTTCAATAGGGCTTCCTCTCGTGTCAGTATGTGTAGTAGACCTCCACATCCTCGGCCTTCTGATACGCTAGACTGCAAACTCCCACCATTCTGAGCCAGCAGCACCACCATCACCATGCAAGTAGGGGGATGATGGGAACTGCAATCCAATGGATATGAAAGGCTGGCATGAAATAGTGCATCCTTTGGACACCACTTATGTTGACAAGTACAGTAACAGCTTTAACTGTGGAAAACATGGGCCCAGTCATTGTGACCTAAACCTAGGGGAACGAGGACTCCCCAGTATGCACTGAGATATATTTTTAGAGAGGTTATCTGAATGAGGGGGAATGAGCACCTTGATTTCTTTTGCCTCATAAGAAGGCTTATGTTCAATGAAGACATGATCTTCCAGAATTACCATATTTTTCGCACCATAAGACGCACCCTTTCCCCACAAAACAGGGGGGTAGAAAGTCTGTGCGTCTTATGGAGTGAAGAAAACAGATTATATTTTCCTGTTTTCTTTTAAAAAATTGGTGCGTCTTATGGAAAAGTGCGTCTTATGGAGCGAAAAATACGGTAGTTTTCATTCTTTCTCTGTTGGTTAGAGAAGGAGCAGGGTGGATCTTACCCTCTGTTCACAAGAAAAAAACTTGTGTTCTGGGGTAATGGTAAATGCTATCCTTCCCTCAGCGGGATAACGGTTACAATCGCCCTTTTTCCTGGAATTGTCATTTTTAATTTACTTGCCATTTTCAGATAAGAGATGGTATTGTTGCCAAATTGTGTCATGCCAGAATTTTCTGTATTGTCTTCTTGTCAAATTTATTTTATACATTTGATTTGTGTGTGTATTTTATACATTTATTTGGTGGTTGTTGTTTTAACCATAATATTGATCTGAAGCATCAGCCAGTTCATTGTGACAGGCAGTGTGCAACTGAAGATGATTAAAGGGCTACTGTGCATTTATTTAAACGTTTTTTGTCTGCAGGCTCTGTTGGCATTATTGCTTCCTCTACAGTTGAGCTGGGATGGTAGTGATGAATTGACCCCCATTGATGCTCCTGTTAGATGCTTTGTGTCCCTGAATGGAGGAGCCAAATATATTGCTGGCTTCCTTTCATCCCCTTCCATTTTTCTTTCTCTCACAGTGAAATAGTGTTATTTGTCTAGAAAAAAAGTGACTGAGAGGAAATTAATAAGTAACGGTCCCCATCCCATGGCATGCAATACTAGGTGACTAATTAAAAGATAACTCAGCACTAATGTCCCAGCTACACTGAACAGGAAGAAACAGAACTTGCAAGCAGGAAGCATTCAATTATCCTGCAGGATACTTTTTCTGAACTTTATATAATACTGTTTGTTTGTTTTTCCTGAACTCTGTATAGTCATGAAGTGGGAGAGGTTATGGGACTGTGTGGAAGCACCATTTAAAGTCTTCTTAAAAGTGCCCTTAAGTCAACGCAACACACAATGCTCTTACATTCCATGGTAATGCTGGTTTTGTTTCTCTCTCAGGGTCAATTTATACTTTTATTTTGGTGGTGTGGATAGCTGGAGTCTGAAATTTGTGGGCACAAATCTGCATGGTTAGAGAGGAGTGTGTGTGTGTGTGTGTGTGTGTGTGTGTGAGAGAGAGAGAGAGAGAGAGAGAGAGAGAGAGAGAGAGAGAGAAACACAATCACAATGGCTAGCAGCTGTGACAAGGGAGAGAAATCACTGAAGTCCAAAGAGAAAGGGCCAATGAATACTGCGTACCACTGTCACCAGATCCCACAGGAAGGGGTGAACACATGGCAAAAGCCAACACAGTGGAGGATAGTGGCATTGCATGTGGTTAGGCATTTTAGAATAAAGTAGCTGCCCAAACAGATTAAACCCTGATGCTGGCCTCTAATGGCACCAGTGCTACTGTGGAATGTAAACGTCCCATACCCTTTTGGCTACCCAAAAGGCAAATGCAATTTTAGGATGCATTAACCAAAGCATAGTCTCCAGATCCCGTGAGGTACTAGTCCTGTCTACTCAGCACTGGTTAGGTACCATCTAGAGTACTGTGTCCAGAGGAGGGCAACAAGGATGATCAGGGGACTGGAAGCCCTGTGAGGAAAGACTGGAAGAACAGGACATGTTTAGCCTTAAGGAAAGAAGACTGAGGAGAAATATGATAGCGCTTTTTCAAATACATGAAAGGTAGTTATGCAAATATAATAAGGTAGCTGCCCAAACAGACTAACCCCTGATGCTGGCCTCTAATGGCACCAGTGCTACTGTGGAATGTAAACGTCCCCTACCCTTTTGGCTGCCCAAAAGGCTAATGCAATTTTAGGATGCATTAACCAAAGCATAGTCTCCAGATCCTGTGAGGTACTAATCCTGTCTACTCAGGACTGGTTAGGTACCATCTAGAGTACTGTGTCCGGTTCTGGGCACTGCACTTTATGAAGGATGCCAAGAAACTAGAACAAGTTCAGAGGAGGGCAACAAGGATGATCAGGGGACTGGAAACGAAGCCCTGTGAGGAAAGACTGAAAGAACAGGACATGTTTAGCCTTAAGGAAAGAAGACTGAGGAGAAATATGATAGCGCTTTTTCAAATACTTGAAAGGTAGCTATGCAAAGGAGGGACAGGTTCTGTTCTCATCTGTTCCCAGAGTGCAGGGCCCGTAATAATGGGCTCAAGCTACAGAAAGCTAGATTTCAGCTGAATATAAGGAAAAACTTCTTAACTATTAGAGCAGTATGACAATGGAACCAATTACCTCTGGAGTTGATGAGCACTCCAGTGCTGGAGGCAGTTAAGAGAAAACTGGACAATCGTATGTCAGATCTGCTTTGATTTGTATTCCTGCATTGAGCCGGGGGTTGGACTTGATGGCCTTATTGTCTCCTTCCAGTTCCATTATTCTATGATTAAGCTCTGGCAAGCTCCCGCTGCAGTTTCTTCCAGTTGTACTGAGACCTGATACTCCTTTCAGCCAAAACAAGGTTGGCAAATCTTCGTCTTTCTAGAATTTTGCAATGCAACTCTTTACCATCTTCACCGTTGGTCCTGTTGGCTGAAGCTTTGTAAGTTGCAGTCCAACATACCTGGAAGTTTCTCCACTTTAGAACTTGAAGAAATGTTGATAGTGAAGATAGTCTAGTTGTGAAATGAAACAATGAACAGGGCCTCAAACGATATCTTCATGATGCTTCCTTTCTTTGCCCCTGGAAACGTGAGGCCCTGTGATGATGTTTGGAATACAAGTCTGACTTTTTCAAGACAGAGAGGCAAAACGAGGCCCATGGGCTGCTTACGGCCCTTCGAGACTCTGACAGACGTTTTCTCGTGGTTCCTCAACTGCGGAGGAGAGCCAGATGTGTTCTGCTCTTCTTGGAGAACTTCAATTGTGTTGTTTTCTTCAGTGGGGTCCTAGCCCCCCGAGCCTGCAAAAATCAAACTTGGACATGAACACCTAATCACTCCTGGTATTAGTTTTCTGCATTTTTGACCCTTTGTGGGCTTTTTTGTTGCAACCCTGTTAGGAACACAGTTTTTTTTAAAAGTTACCAATTGTCCTAAATTGAGTGTCATTTGGACGGCCGGAAGGAGTTTTAAACCATGGAACCTTTTCGGGTCTATTCAACAGGTAGATACTACAAAAGGGGGGGAAAAAAGAATAACTTGTTTATGTCACGATGTGTGCATGATCACAACCTCAAAAGGCAATGAAGATGAAGCCGTCATCAGCAATTTAGATCAGGTGGTAGCAGATGATGTGATGATTTTAAGCATTTATCTGGAGGTGTGTCCAGAACAGTTAGGAGCAAGAAGGGTGGAACATTGTAGATCCATATTTCTGCACCCCCCATGTGTTTTTTTTTTAAATAAAAAGTCCACTTGTCATCCAGAAAAGGAGATTCATTCAAAGCACTGGCAGGCAAAACCTGTAGCAACAGATTGGGCTCCAGACTGATCAATCCAAACACAGGCAAAACCTTGCCTTGAATGAGCCACGTAATTCCTACTGAACTGTAGCTAAATTGCAGGATAGAAAGGTCTTTCTACCCAAACACAGGCAAAACCTTTCTTTGGATGAGCCAGGGAACTCCTACTGGATGAATAAGGATCATACAGCAGATTCAGTTCAAAATCTGAACGTGGCTAAATTGCAGGATAGAAAGGTCTTTCTAGAGAGGAGAAAGGAAGCTGACATAAAGTGAATACTCTCAACTAGTGGTGAGATATCCTATGTAAATCCAGAGATACTTCCCCCCCCCTCCCATGCTCCTTTGGAGCAACCTCTTTGCTATGTTGTATGCGTGATTTTTTTAATGCAGCTGTAAATAAAAACAAATAAACCTTTCCAAGAAGAAAGATAGTACTGGAATCTTTGCCAGAAAGAATCTTTGCAGTCTGATCCACATCTAGACAAGAGATTGAAAATATTTTTTTTCTTACTTGAATGTGTAACTTTTGAGTCCACTTAAATTTTAAAATCTATTATTTCAGTTACGAATATCGACATGATACTGTTCTTTCTTTTAAA